TTACAGGAAGAAAATTAACATTTTTACTGAGAATATAAAAGAAGTCAAGAATAAATATAAAGATTACATGGTTTATTATTAATAAAGTCTCAATTCCCCCTCAAATATGTCTAAATTCCATTATATTCCCAATTAAATCTAAAAAGAATCGTAAGAGTTTTCATAGACTAACTCTAGTTTGTGAAGAGGAGAAACTCTATGAATAGTAAATAATTTTTTGAAGCAGGACAATAGGATTGATTAAAGATATTTATAGAACTTTTACAATAATCAAGTCAGACCTTTGTACACAAGAGAATTCAGGGTATGCTAAATAAAGGTGGCCTTTCAACCAGTGTGGAAAAGATGAGTGACCCAAAACTGTACTGGCACAAGGGATGGTTGCCCACTTGGAAAAAGTAAACTTCAGTCTGTCTACCATTTAGAAATATAAATGCCAAATTAACTGAAAAGCAAAATAAAGCAGACAAGGATTTACATATTAGAAGAAAATATAAGAAGAAAATGTTTTGATTTTGGAATAGTGAAGAACTTTAGCAAGTCAAAGATCTCAGAAGTCCTAAAAAATACTAATGTATTTGACAAAACAAATCTATAAATCATTTATTAGACAATAGACAATATATATAAAGAAAAGGCAAGGACACCCTGCATTATCCAAGTGTAAGGAATATGTAAAGAAATCTGACATTACAGCAATGAGAAACTATTTAATAGAAATTATCCAGTGAGAAATTATCCAGTAAAAAAGTGGCAATGCACATGAATGACTGAGTCGTGGAAGTACCTACCAACACTTAACCCAGGAAGAGCTAGTCTTAATAAGAAGTCAGGAAGAGGCAAAAATTAATTAATTAATTAATAAGTAAGTAACTAACTAACATCAGTCTTGTGTGTTTGATCTGCAAAACTGGGGAGTGGTGGAGAAAGTCATACTTTGGTGGGACAGTCAACTCTCATGAGGGAAATTTTGGTAATATCTTTTAAAATTCAAAATATGCATAGTCTTAAATCCAGTAATTTTACTTTGTATCTGTCTTCACAAAATACTGACACATGACTAGGAATGTTGATTAGCTCTGTTAAAACAATAATGGTGTGTGTCTATGTTTTATATATTTTTTAAAAAAACACTTAAAAAGAATTAAGTCAATTCACAAATAATGTTAAGGTCCTCAAGATGTATAAATGAGTAAAACCCATTACAGAATAATTATATTGTATTCAAACTTTAAGAAAACTATATATTTTATATGGAGTTAAATTGCAGAGAAAGATAAATGTTTCCAAAGGCTTCACATACGCTATTTTTTATTTTTATTTCTATTTTTATTTTAGAGATGGGGTTTTTCCATGTTGCCTAGGCTGGTCCCAAATTCCTGGGCTCATGCAATCTGCCTGCCTTAGCCTCCCAAAGCACTAGGATTATAGGCATGAGCCACCGCGCGCCTGGCCTGCACACACACTAACAGTGATTATTGCTGAGGATTATGGGAGCCACAGAAATGGGACTTCCCCTTTTTGTACAATTCAAAACGTTATTCTTAGTTTTCACTATAAGAATTTCAGTTTTATGCATAAAGATTTGAAAATAACTTGTATTTATAATTACAATGTTCTATTAAAGCTAGGGGATTTATATCCTTACTAACAGAAATACAGCAAGTAAAATTTATGTAGTCTAGGTGAACAGAAGATGTCACTACTAAAAGAGTAGGGTTCATTGAAAGTGAAAGGGGAATTTTGAGTCAATTAATTTAGATAAATAATACCATGCATTTACTCCATCACTTCCAAGAGAGAGAAAAGCCAGAGGCCATGTGGACAGGAAAGTGGGGCCTGGGGGAAGGAAGGGGTACATGAAGTTTTGGGGGTCGGGTAAGGAATTGGGGGAAATGGGTTGAAAAAGTGGCCGAGGGAGAGGGGATGAAGAAGGAGATTGGGGAAGGAGAGGGAAGAGATGAGAGATGGAACTGTGTTTTTGTTAGCAATTCAAATAAGAACCAAGACATCTCAGGAGTGTTCCCAAGGAATGTCCAAATGCTCTGCCTTCCAGAAGCAGGTGCTGATCTATTTCGGGAACTCTGTGGACATACTTAGCAGTCTAAATCTAGATTCTGGGTTGAATTCCCACACTCGGTTCACCCAGATCTGGCCTCCAGCAGCAGGACCAGAAGCGGCAGTGACAAGGAAAGGCAGAAGCAGCAACCAACTGGGCACCCCTCTTCATTGAAGATGCAGCCCCCAAGTGGCTCTGCAGGCCCAGGCCCCTGTTCGTTCCATTCAGAAAAACACACAGCAGTTAACTGCATCTGCAGTGCATCTGAGAAGGTAAACGCACTTCATCTCCTGTTCATTGAGGGACAAAGGTATGTGGCCTATTGACTCTCTTTTTGGGGTCTACAATGAAAAAGGAGGGGAGAGCAGAAAATGGGTCACTTTACCTTGTCCATTCTATGTTCCCACAAGGCCCTACCCTTAGCAAACCACAAAGGAAGGCTAGGTTTGCATTTGCTTGAAGAACAGGAAGGTGGAGGAGAATCCAACAGATGCTCTTTATTTTCTATTTAGCCGGGAAAAAGCAAAAACCTGGCTCCAAAGCAGTCAGAAACAGAAGCTGGAAAGGAAGCAAGTGATGTGAGTTCTTGAGGTCCTCCGAAGAGATGCCTTGGAGACAACAGAAGTAAATGACCCTGTAAATTTTCTTTATCCTACTGGGCACCTTGATGAGAGCACTTGAAGCAGAGGCCTTGCACAGGTGATGGGGAGGAACTCTTCCTGGATTAGACATGGAAAACCCACCAACCACAGAGATGCAAGCTTCAAATGAGCATTATCTGTGCTGCTGGTATCCTAGTGGGGTGGGAATCAGAATGCAATGACCTCCGTGTATGTTATCACACAGGTAGAAGTTTCTAAAACTATGCTGTAACCAGCCCCCCTGTGCAGGTAGTGAGCATTTAAAATGTGGTGAATTGAATTAAGATGTGCTGTAAGGGTAAAATGCACACCAGATTTCAATGACTTGGTGTGAAAAAATAATATAAAATACATAAAATATTAATAATTTAGAATTATAATATTACATTAATAATTTAGAATTATAAGTTGAAAAAATATTCTAGTAAAATGTTTTTAAAACTTTTATTTTCAGTTCAGGGGTACACGTGCAGGTTTGCTATATAAGTAAACTCATATCACGGGGGTTTATTGTACAGATTATTTTGTTACCCAGGTACTAAGCCTAGTACCCAATTGTTATTTTTTCTGATCCTGTTCCTCCTCCCAGCCTCCACCTTACAAGAGGCCCCAGTGGGTGTTGTCCCCTTTTTTGTGTCCATTTGTTCTCATAATTTAGCTCCCACTTTTTTGTTGTTGTTGTTCTCTGAAGTGAATGAATTGAACAAAACCACTTTTTTTTTTTTTTTTTGAGACGAAGTCTCACTCTGTCACCCAGGCTGCAGTTCAATGGCATGATCCCGGCTCACTGCAACCTCTGTCCCCTGGGTTTACCAATTTTCCTGCCTCAGCCTCCCGAGTAACTGGGACTATAGGCAACCACCACCACGCCTGGCTAATTTTTGTATTTTTAGCAGAGACAGGGTTTCACTACATTGGCCAGGCTAGTCTCCAACTCCTGACCTCAGGTGATCCACCCACCTTGGCCTCCCAAAGTGCTGGGATTACAGTCATAAGCCACCGCTCCCAGCCAGCTCCCACTTATAAGTGAGAACATGTGATATTTGGTTTTCTGTTTTGTGTTAATTTGCTAAGGATAATGGCCTCTAGTTCAATCCATGTTCCCACAACAGACATGTTCTCGTTCCTTCTTATGGCTGCATAGTGTATTTCATGGTGTACATGTACCACATTTTCTTTATCCAATCTGTCATTGATGGACATGTAGACTGATTCCATGTCTTTGCTATTGTGAATGGTGCTGCCATGTGTCTTTAGGTAGAATGATTTCTATTCCTTTGGGTGTATACCCAATAATGAGATTGCTGAGTTGAACGGTATTTCTATTTTTAGCTTTTTGAGGAATCACCACACTAATTTCCACAACGGTTGAACTAATTTAAACTCCCACCAACAGTGTATAAGCGTCCCCTTTTCTCCACAACCTCTCCAGCATGTTATTTTTGACTTTTTAAAAATAGCCATTCTGATTGGTGGTAGATGGTATCTCATTGTGGTTTTGATATGCGTTTCTCTAATGATCAGTGACAATTAGACTTTTTTTTTCCATATGCTTTCTGGCCACATGTATGTCTTCTTTTGAAAAGTGTCTGTCCATGTATCCCAGTAAAATTAATTTTGCTTGCTTCTCTGTACTTTTAGAAGTATGGCTATAGAAAATGTATGATTGTACATGTGGCTCAGATTATATTTCTATTGGACAGCACTGTCTGGCCTCTAGAAAGTGCTCTGATTCAAGAGGTTATAAAGAAATTCTCTGAGTCAATAAGAAAAATAGAAAAAACCAAATGGGCAATGAGCACATGGGAACTCACTCAGTGGAAAGGAGGGAATGGAAAGCCAGGCCACTAGAGCCCACTGGGGACACAGGACAAGGCCACAAAGCAGAGACAGCCCCTCCAGGAAGAGCAGCCAGGCCTTGGGAGGACATGGCCGTAGGACCAGATCCAGGGCGGACATGTGGCTTGAGTCACTAACTGCTGGCTCATCTGGCAGGTGTGGGCAGCAGCCAGGACCATGGCTTTACCGGGTCCCCCCGATCTCTGCCCTCAGCTGTCTTGCAGCCTGGGTCAGGCACCTATGCAGCTCCAAGGCAGGCAGAGATGCAACACCCATATCCCCTTTCTAGGCAGGGCTTGCTGCCCCAGCTGTAGTGAGTGCGGCAGCAGATGGCCTCCAGCCATCAGCAACTTCAAAGAGCTGCCTTCTCTGAGTTCCCATAAACTAGTTAGGGACTTCACAACTGCAGAATTACCACCCAAAGATTAAAATAATGACCTGAAGAAAGGAATGAGTCAAAATTACACATTCCTGCAAGTGGTTTATTGAGAGCTGATGTGTCAACCAAAAAACAAACCATAATGATGGGAATATTGATGATTTCCACAGACAAAAAAAATTTAAATAAGATCAATCTTTACATACTAATTAGAAGCACCTACAAGATGTATCAAGCAAAAAGAGGATGAAGAACAGTGTGTGGTTGGTTTGGTACCATTTGTTTTAACAGAGGCTAAAGAATATATATGTGCTGTACACATGTTTAGATTCTATGTGTAGTCTTATGTACGTGTGCTTACACCACATGTATGTGCATATCTAACTCTGCATGATCTCTGGAAAGAGAAGTCAACACTGGTGTCACTAGTGACTGAGGAGGGAAGTGGTGGCTGTGGGACAGGATGGGAGGGACACATCCCTACATAATACTTCATACCTTTTAGCTTTGAACCATGTGCAATTATTATCTACTGAAAAATAAGTTAAAAACTAAAAATCAAATACAAAGAAAAACAGCAGCAATAAACCATTAAAAACATACATTCATTTTATCACAGTCCACAGTATACTGGGAGCTGTCCATTTAGTACTGATGGCTTATACTGTCATATGATTAAAAATAATAATAATCTCATGAGTTCCTCTCAACCTCAATTTCTAATCTCAAATACACATTTCAGAAAGACACGACTGAAGAATAGCCAGAGCTGTACCTATTCTTAAATGAAGCCCCGTGGAGGTCTCAGGTCTAACAGTCATCCCGGCTGAGGCTCCTAGTTTGGGCGAGTTGGTCCTCGAGCCCTTGGCCAAACTTGGCAGCAAAGAGTGAGGCGATGAGGTCATCTCCAGTGTTTAGAGCCAGGTCGTACGCTGTCTGGCCTCTTGTATTCTTCTTTCGGATGCTTGCATTGCATCTGCAAAGGAAACGGAGAAATGGAGGTGCACTGACGGACTTGAGCATGTGATCCTAAGAGCTTGACTCTTCCCTGCCGTGGAGGCCAGTCTGAGCACCTCCTGGTCCCACCTCCATAAACCTGTCCCCAAGAGGCCACCATGACTTCAGCTCTCTGGGGTGGCTCTATCCTGACGCCTTTAAAGAGGCTCTGTGATTTCAAAATGTCCAATTGCTAATCCTGGCCATTGGTTCCCATTGCATTAAAGTCCTACAACCAAGTGTGTTTAATGGGAGCAACACTTTCATTGTGCTTTGAAAAGCCCTTAGTGCCCCGGGAGCTATGGTGGGATGGTGGTTCCCACAGACAGGGACAGCAGTTCACGAACCAAGGCTCCTCTTAAAATCATCACAGGCCTTTAGAGAGATCCCTGTGGCCCTCAAAAGTATCCATCAGAGGCAAGGGGACATACCCCAGTAAAGTGGCGATGCTCTCTTTTCCTGCAAGACCAAGCAGAGTTGCTTCATGAAGAGCTGTATTTCTGAGCCTAATTAGAGGGAAAAAAAAGAATCCTGGATAAATCCTTAGTTAGCATCATCAGAAAACTGGAGAGACTGCATGTGACCCAAGGTCTTGGTTTTGCTCACTGACCTATTTAACCTGGGAAAATCTCTTGAGTCCCCTCTCTGCCCTTCTCTTGAAGGAATACTGGGATGGAGGGTAAGCTTTGATACTAGAGAGTGAAAAGGTTATAAACACATTCATTTTTTAATGCCAGAAACCCACAAGGATGTGGTTGGTAGTTGATTTAATAAATGCTAATAAATACCATTTTTCTAAATTGCCTGCAAGAGTTTATGCAACATATTGGTGGCAGGAGTGAAGGAGGGCAGGAGTCATGACTGAAAGTGGAAATGAGATAGGCATTGAAGGTCTGAACTTTCTCTGCCCCTGCTCCCTTCTTTGACGCCGTCTCTTTTCCCCCACACCTGCAGATATGCCTGCAGCCATGCATTTATCCCAATGGAGAAAAAGGATAGTGGCTTCTTCTCTTGAAGAAGACAAAGAGAGCATTTGGTGAAAAATCACAGGGAAGGCTTCCACTTTTTGGAACCGGGGGTCCCAGTCTGGGAGTAGCTCCATTTACCCAGAAAGCCTCTTGGTTGACAAAGCCCTTCTCTTATATACAGAATTACCAGTCATCTAGTCCATTCTCCTTTCTCAAATGTGAATGGACAAGAAAGGCTCACAGACATCTGAGAAAAACCTGCAGAACCAAAGATAAAACCAAGACACACAAACACAAGGAATTTAAAACAAGATAAAAATCCAACTGGTATCTGCAGAATAATTCAAGACAATATTGTACAAAAATATGAGACTATAAAAAAGAAACAATCAGAACAAAAGTAGCTCCTAGAAAGAATAAATATGATTATTGAAATAAGGATTACTCAATAGGAAGAATGGAAAACAAAGTTAGGAAAATCTCCCAAAAGATAGAAGAGAAAAAGATAGATGAAACTATGGAAAAACAAAGAAGAAAGAGACAGGGAATTGATTCTAGCAGTCCGCCATCTACCAACTATTACTCTATAATAGTTCTAGAAAGAGAATAGAAAAATGGAGGGGAGAAAATGCCAAAGAGATAATAGGATAAATTTTTCCTAACCTAAAGAAAGACATGACTTTTTAAATTGAAAAGGTCAACTAGGTGAATCAAAAACAGCACATCTAAAAATACCCTTGTGAAATCTCAGAACATCAAGGATAAATGCTTTCAGAAAGAACAAATAAACAGATCGCAAATGAAGAATATGCCATAGAATGTTCACGGCTATGCTGTATGCTAGTCTATTAGTCCATTTCACACTGCTGATAAAGACATACCCAAGACTGGGCAATTTACAAAAGAAAGAGATTTAATTGGACTTAGTCTGGAAAAGACTCCATTTCCTCCTTATCTTTCATCGTTTCTTCCTGACGGGTGGCATAGAGCTTAACTGTCTACGTTAATTTGTCACTTCACCCCTGTGCTTCCTTGGATTTTTATAAGGCATTTACCATTTGAACTGGGATATATTCACAGGGTTGCCACATCTCCTAAGTAGACTTATGATCTTCTTTCTTCACTATTCTCCCCAAATTGAGAGAAGGGTATTCATTCTATTTATTGCATGGGGCGTTTGCTGGTGGTTAGATTTTCTGTGCTGGCTGCTTCCTATGTAGCCACAGTTCCGTTTTGGAAAATGCTGAATGGTGACTCTGCATGGAATTTGTATTTTAAAGATACAAACAACTCAAACTACTTACTCGAATCTAAGTGTCATGATAAGATACATTCTCTCCTTAAATTACCTAATAGAATAAATGTCCACAGTTGAACCACTCAGAAGTAGACTGATGCGTGCATCTTCCTTACCTGGCTACTGGGGCACAGCCAGGCGATGGCATGTTTGGAATCACCAATGCAGTGAGGAAGGGCAGCTCTTGTCCAAAAGCAAACAGCATTTCTCTGGGCCTCTCACCTAGTGAGATATTGAATCTGAGCTTCTGCAATCTGGTAGTAAGAGGCATGAGCTTTGGTGGAGGATGTGAATTTCTCCGAGCCATTCCCTTTTGCTGAATATGAGTTCATTCTGGTACGAATGATACAAACATGGAACCAGGAAATTAGGAAAGAGCTTTCTGCCACCTGCCCAGCTACTTAACGGAAGTTATCTGGTGTAGAGACCACCAAGCCTCCACTAGCCAAACATGCTGGGATGGAAGAGAGCATTTTAATTCTTGTTTGCTAAGGAACAACTCTCTGAGCCTCTTTTATGGTAAAGACAGATCTCTGGATGACTTATGCCTAAAGGCAATAGGATGCATGGAACTTTGAGATCATGCTCCTGGGTCTCCAGAAGTCTAGCTATGGGGCAGAGGCTGGGGTGATCCAGGCCCAAACTCTTGAAACTAACAGATATAAATCAGACTTGGCTCTCAGGGGGAAATGCTTCTTTCCTCTACTGGCATGCACTGGAAAGGAAGAAGAGATCCTGTGCTCTATTTGAGAGAGGGCCAACGCTTTAGCTTTTCTCCCCGCAACCATGTGAGCTACATACTGCTCGCAGTCGCTATGATCACGCACTGGGAGTGACAAAGGCCATTACACACCATTAAGATAGACAGGTATGACCGCAGTGTCAGACTTTACGGACATGCAATGAGATCGCATGTGGATAAATGCCAGTTTGTAGAATGGTGATGAAGCAGTCATGGAAGCTGAGGCACAGGAAAATAAAAAAGCCATCTGTCCAATGCCCGGGGCGTTTTCCTCCCTTAGCTGGACTCTTCATAAAGCCAGGACTCACGCGGCTTACACTTCAATTCAAAACGTGCTCAAGTCATTTTTGTATCAACCACAACATACTTAAATGCTATTTAAAAAGCTTTTCTGAATTATAAAAATATAAAATATGCCTCAACACAAAACAAGGTAGCACCATTTTATTAATAATGACGATAATAAAACAGTGTGGGATAAATGAAGAACTTGACACAGTAAACTCTAAGAAGACTTGAGAAAATTAATTCCAGCCATCAGAGCTTTATACCAACATACCAAACATTCTGCTGTAAAATAAAACTAAAAAAGGTAGAAACTACTAAAATGCAGAAATTGGTAAAATGCATATGGAAAAATTAACAGGATTATATTTTGAACACTAACACCAGAGACAATTTTGAAACAGAGAATAATAGAAGCAAAGCTACTGCAATTTCGGCCTCTGTGGTGGCATGAGATACACAGCAGAATGTTCCAGTGACGCAGACCCTGATCTTGCCTTAGTAAGACTTCAGGAGGCAGTGGTGGTAGATGCCTGTGATGTCCCGAGAAGACTTATTTCAACAATGTGGTCAGCAAGATATGAGCAGTTAACATGAATGACCTATGCTCAAGGAAATTTTCACCCCGCGTTTTCAAAGTAATTTGCAAAAGAACAATAGAAACATAAGGCTGGAAGAGAAGGTGATGAGACAGGAGCGGACTGAGACTGGGACAGTAAGTAACAGGACTTGGCACCTTTCTGTCTTGTATCATTCATAGGTGGGAAAGCAAGGCTGCAGGAGACCCTGTGGTGACCTCAGATGTACCCGTCTCCTCCACAGTGGTGTTAGATCTGGAGACAACCGTATGACATTTTCTTTCTGCATTAACTTCATGAGGATATTTCCACAGGGAATATACTGAGGTCTGTCTTTCCTTGGTATTATCATGATTCATGATGAAAACATTGGTTAACACCCCAAGGGCTAAGGATTTACTGGCCCCACACAGCATAAGATTATGAATTAACAAAATGCATCAGCATTTATAAAATCACAAAATTAGGCAACCCAATAGTCCATTTTTAAAATTTCACTTAACCCAGCTATGGAAAAGAGAAGGTGTTAAGCCTCTTATTAAAGCTGATATAGGTTAAAATGGTTAAAGAGGCTGAAACTGAACAGGGCATGTACATAGACTTCTTCTGCCACAGTGGAGCTCCAGGCAGTTAGCCTGCTGCTACCTTAGCTCTCCTTTCGATGTGTTTCACTTACAGCCCCCACTGCTGGTCAATGTCTGCTCCTCTCTGCACGAGAACCGGAATCGCTTCATGGTGCTTATTCATAACAGCCACGGTTATGACGGGTCGATCATCTTCATCACAGCAGTTGGGGTCTGCTCCCTGCAGCAAATGGACAAGGACAAACTTGCCACAAAACCCTGCACTCAACAGCATCCAGCTGCCATCCTATGACGTATGACAGATGTCCTTCACAGAGCTAATGGAACTACAGTGCTTTCAGATCAAAGGAGAGGAGAACCAGGAACCTCAAGACCTGACCAGCAATGAACAGAGCTACAAAGTTGCCCAGGTGACAAAACTTCTGTTCCCAACATGGGTGGGCAGGGGAGGGGAGGCACCCTGACTACCTTGTTTCTTTAGGAAGCCCAGGATAAAGGTATTATGGGGTCACAGGCCAGAGATGCTATTCAGCTTCATGCATGCTCCTTGATCTCCTCTGTGCTTGTCTATTTTCTCTGATATAAAAACTTGCAACAGGAAACAATTAATTAATGTAAAGCTTTTGACTAGCCATTCACTCTATCCCTGGTTTTTATCAAAGGGCAGTGTAATTTTCATAGTACTGAACCAAACTTCCATCTGAAGGAGACAGAGGCGGAATGCCAGGCTAAACTCTTCAGGGAGACTTGCGCCTTTGGCGACACTTACTTCATCCAGCAGCTGTTCAATCACAGAGACTCTTCCTTCCCCTGTGGGTCCAACTTCCTTCAGCAGGAGTCTGTTTTCAGGCTGCAGGATTACAGAATGTGGTCATTTCTTTCGCCTCAAAATATTCCCTTAAGGGAAACATTTTCTCTCCAACGTTGAATTCTAAGTCACAAGGACAGGTGACTATGAGTGTGTGCATGTGTGAGTGTGTGCATGTGTGAGTATGTGCATGTGAGAGTGTGTGCATGTGTGAGTGTGTGCATGTGTGAGTATGTGCATGTGAGAGTGTGTGCATGTGTGAGTGTGTGCATGTGTGAGTGTGTGCATGTGTGAGTGTGTGCATGTGAGAGTGTGTGCATGTGTGAGTGTGTGCATGTGTGAGTGTGTGCATGTGTGAGTATGTGCATGTGTGAGTGTGTGCATGTGTGAGTGTGTGCATGTGTGAGTGTGTGCATGTGTGAGTGTGTGCATGTGAGAGTGTGTGTGGTCTTAATAGCCCACAACACAAACATCCACATCTAATGTCAATCTTGCTGCTCCAAAACCTTGCTTCAGGCAAGGTTACCACATGGACACTGTTTTACATTAAGGTCAAGGATGCCGTGAGAAACCTCACAAAACACAGAAACTCCACACTAGTTTTATTATGACTAGCTCTAGGAAAAGCAATCAGATGAATCCTAAAATTTATTTTGCATACTTTATAAAGTGTTCAAAGTCAGCCAAATTATGACAGTCCAGAAAATGTACTCCCCTGAGGAATGAATAAGCCAACAAATTGACTTCTTATTTAGATTTAAAAAAGGCTGAGCATAGTGGCTCGTGCCTGTAATCCCAGTACTTTGGGAGGCCGAGGCAGGCAGATCACTTGAGGTCAGGAGTTTGAGACCAGCATGGCCAACATGGTGAAACCCCGTCTCTACTAAAAATACAAAAATTAGCCAGGCATGGTAGTATGTGCCTGTAATCCCAGCTGCTTGGGAGGCTGAGGCAGAAGAATCGCTTGAATCCAGGAGTCAGAGGTTGCAGTGAGCTGAGATCACCCAGCCGTACTCTAGCCTGGGCAACACAACAAGACTTAAAAAAAAAAACCAGAAAGAAAGAAAAGTTCTCAGAAATTTGAAGAACTTATCTTTTTGTATTTTTAAATGCCATACATTCATTTTTATACATAAAGAATTTCCAGTGCTGGAAGACTGAAGGAAGCTGTTTAGAAAGCAGCAGACATTGCTTTTAGTGTGCTTCTGCCCCTGGATCCTGGGCATGACTGTGGGGTGGTCACGGGACCACGGTTTCCATTGGTAAAGTGGAAATAATACCCTCCCTGTCCTTGCGCCTGTGAAGCCATGGCAATGAGGACACTGGGCAAGGCCTCTGAGCCTTTTGGAAGATGATGCCTGGTCCAGACAGTGCCGCCTCCTTTATCGCTGTCCCCGTCTTACTGATGAACAGCTTGGAACCAAGTACTTTAATCAGTACGCCCCCAGGAGGGGTCTTGGGAAGCACTTGTTTACACTGACTTCCATTCCTCATGGAAAAGCAAACTAGAGTGCACTGGCATGTCAGCGTCAGGAGGTATGAGATCTTTATGTCTTTTCTTCAGGTTTTATTTTCAACACATAGAACAGTGCCTGGTACATGTGTACTCTAAAATAATCATTGAACGAGCGAACAAATGTTATAGCTTCTGATACTTATCCCCTAAATGCAAATGAGAAAAAATCGAGGAAAAAAAGGGATATGCAATGGGAGATTCAGGTTACAGACAGAGTAACCTGAGTTACCAGAGTCTCCCAAATGGTAAGCTGCTCGGTTTATGGAACTGTATGCTTCTTTTATGCACATTAACAATATTTCAAACTGGGAGAAGGTGGAGAGTACAAGAAGTCTTCAACAATAAAAGTTAAAACAATTCTAAGATTTTCTTTCCAAACTTACTGGTGTTTATTACATGCAAAGCATGTGGTGGGAAAAAAATAACATAAAGAATAGAGTCCCTGCCTCCAGAGGAATCAGGATGCAAGCTAGGTGGCTGGTGCATGCACTGATGAGGCCGTGTTGAGGGCCTGGCCTTGGAACTACACGTGGAGGGAAGCACCAGCATCATGCGAGTGTCCAGCTTGGGCCTGGGCCTGCGCCTTGGGGCTAATCACATCTGTTCTTTGTATTGCTTCCAAAGAGGACCAATTAAAAGGCAAGGTTGGGGACGGAGCAGGGGACATCCACTGCCCTTTTTCCAAAGCTCCTTTTAGAATTATTCTTGGCATATATTTTTGAAACACAAAACTCTAAAAGATGTGGGAAACTCTGAAAGGTTACTGACCTTGGTGAATTAGCAATCTTGAGAAATTCCAAGAAGACTGAAAGTAGATGAACTCTGGTTCCTCCTCTCACCATGTAATGTGCCTATTCCTCCTTCGCCTTCTGCCATGACTAGAAACTCCCTGAGGTCCTCACCAGAAGCAGATTCTGGCTCCAAACTTTCTGTATAGCTTGCAGAACTGTGTGCTAATTAAATCTCCTTATAAACTACCCAGTCTTAGGTATTTTTTAATAGAAATACAAGAACAGACTAAGAGAGCTCCACCAAGATGGCCGAATAGGAACAGCTCCGGAGCACAGTTCCCAGTGAGAGTGATGTAGAGAGAGTGTGATTGCAGCATTTCCAACCGAGGTACCAGGTGCATCTCAGTGGGACTGGTTGGACAGTGGGTATAGCCCAAGGAGGGTGAGCTGAGGCAGGGTGGGGTGCTGCCTCACCTGGGAAGTGCAGCAGACTGGAGGACCCCCCCACTCCTACCCAACAGAGGCCCTCGGGGGCTCTTCTGGCCACTCTGACACTCCGTTTCAGTTACCGGGCTTCTCGCGGGTCTTTACAGCCCACAGACCAGGAGATATCCACAGGCCAACAAGCGCCACAGGTTTCCAGCACAAAAACCCACACAAATCTGGGTGGCTGTTTCAACTGGTGCCTGGAACACCCGTGAGACAGAGCCACACACTCCCCTGAAAAAGAGGGGGGTGAAGGCAGAGAGCCAGGTGGTCTGGCTTGGTGGATCCCACCCCTACAAAGATCAGCAATATGAAACGCACTGGCTTGAGAGTTTTGCAGCCAGCACAGCAGTTTGAGCTTGACCTGGGATGGTGGAGCTCTCTGTGGGGAAGGGCGTCCACCATTACCGAGGCAGTCCGCCATTACCGAGGCAGTTCTAACCTTAACTGTGTAAACAAAACCGCAAGGATGTTTACACAGGAGCTGGACAGAGCGCGCAGCACCTCAGCAACACCTCTGCAGGCAGACTGTGACTAGACTCCTTCCTTGCTGGGCAGGGCATCTCTGACAAAAGGCAGCAACATGTCAGGGACTTATACATAAAGCCCCACCTTCCAGGAGAGAGCACCTGGGAAAGGAGGTGTTGTGAGTTCCACTGCAGCAGACTTAAAAGTCCCTGCCCAGCAGCTCTGAATGGGACAGCACAGCACTGGAGCTCTGATAAGGGACAGACTGCCTCCTCAAGGGGCTCCCTGACCCCCATATATCCAAAGAGGCACCTCATACAGGAGACCTGTGGCTGACATCTGGCTGACTTCTCGGATAAAGCTACCAGAGGAAGGAACAGGCAGCAATCCTTGCTGTTCTGCAGCCCCTGAGGGTGATTTCCAGGCAAGCAGGGTCTGGAGTGGACATCCAGCAGTCCTGCAGCAGAGAGGCCTGACTGTTAGAAGGAAAACTAAAAAACAGAAATAAATAGCTCCAACATCAACAAAAAGGATGTCCACTCAGAGACCCCATCCAAAAGTCACCAACTTCAAAGACCAAAGGTAGATAAATCCACGAAGATGGGAAGAAACCAGCACAAAAAGGATGAAATCACCTAAAACCAGAAAGCCTCTCCTTCTCCAAGGGATCACAACTCCTCACCAGCAAGGGAACAAAACTGGATGGAGAATGAGTTCGACGAATTGACAGAAGGAAGCTTCATAAGGTAGGTAATAACAAACTTTTCTGAGCTAAAGGAACATGTTCTAACCCAATGCAAAGAAACTAAGAAGATTGAAAAAAGATTAGATGAAATGCTAACTAGAATAACCAGGTTAGAGAAGAATATAAACAACTTGATGGAGCTGAAAAACACAGTACGAGAGCTCTGCGAAACATACACTAGTCTCAATAGCCGAATCGATCAAGCAGAAGAAAGGATATCAGAGATTGAAGATCAGCTCAATGAAATAAAATGAGAAAGCAAGATGAGAGAAAAAAGAGGGAAAAGACATAATGAAGCCTCCGACAAATACGGGATTATGTGAAAAGACCTAGTCTACGTTTGATCAGTGTACCTGAATATGACGGGGAGAATGAAACTAAGCCAGAAAATATTCTTCAGGATATTATCCAGGAGAACTTCCCCAACCTAGCAAAGCAGGCCAACATTCAAATCCAGGAAATACAGAGAACACCACAAAGATATTCCTCAAGAAGAACAACCCCAAGGCACATAATTGTCAGATTCACCAGGGTTGAAATGAAGGAAAAAATGCTAGGGCAGCCAGACAGAAAGGTCAAGTTACCCACAAAGGGAAGCCCATCAGACTCACAGCAGACCTCTTGGCAGAAACCCTTGGCAGAGGAGAGTGGAGGCCAATATTCAACATCCTTAAAGAAAAGAACTTTCAACCCAGAATTTCATATCCAGCCAAACTAAGCTTCATAAGTGAAGGAGAAATAAAATCCTTTACGAACAAGCAATTGCTGAGAGATTTCATCACCACCGGGCCTGCCTTGCAAGAGCTCCTGAAGGAAGCACTAAATATGGAAAGGAACAACCAGTACCAGCCACTGCAAAAATGTATCAAATGGTAAAGACCATTGACACAATGAAGAAACTGCATCAACTAACAGGCAAAACAACCAGCTAGCATCAAAATGGCAGGATCAAATTCATACATAACAATATTAACCTTAAGTGTAAACAGGCTAAATGCCCCAATCAAAAGAAACAGACTGGCAAATTGGATAAAAAGTCAAGACCCATCTGTGTGCTGTATCCAGGAAACCCATCTCACGTGCAAAGACACATATAGACTCAAAATAAAGGGATGGAGGAAGATTTACCAAGAAAATGGAGAGCAAAAAAAAAAAAAGGGGGTTGCAATCCTAGTCTCTGATAAAACAGACTTTAAACCAACAAATATCAAAAGAGACAAAGAAGGGCATTACATAATGGTAAAAGGATAAATGCACAAGAAAAGTTAATGATCCTAAATATATACACACCCAATATAGGAGCACCCAGATACATAAAGCAAGTTCTTATTGACCCACAAAGAGACTTAGACTCCCACACAATAATAGTGGCAGACTTTAACACTCCACTGTCAATATTAGACAGATCAACAAGACAGAAAATTACCAAGGATATCCAGGACTTGAACTCAGATCTGGACCAAGCAAACCTAATAGACACAGAACTCTCCACCCCAAATCCACAGAATATACATTCTTCTGAGTGCCACATCGCACTTACTAAAATTGACCACATAATTGGAAATAAATCACTCCTCAGCAAATGCAAAAGAACAGAAATCACAACAACCAGTCTCTCAGATCACAGTGCAATCAAATTAGAACTCAGGATTAAGAAACTCACTCAAAGCCACACAACTACATGGAAACTGAACAACCTGCTCCTGAATGAGTACTGGATAAATAATGAAATGAAGGCAGAAATAAAGATGTTCTTCAAAACCGATGAGAACAAAGACACAACATACCAGAATCTCTGGGACACATTTAAAGCAGTGTCCAGAGGGAAATTTATAGCACGAAATGCCCATATGAGAAGCGAGGAAAGATCTAAAATCAACACCCTATTGTCAAAATTAAAAGAACTAGAGAAGCAAGATCAAACAAATTCAAAAGCTAGCAGAAGGCAAGAAATAACTAAGATCAGAGCAGAACTGAAGGAGATAGAGACACAAAAAAGACCTTCAAAAAAATCAATAAATACAGGAGCTGTTTTTTTGGAAAGATCAACGAAATAGATAGACTGCTAGCCAGACTAATAAAAAAGAAAAGAGGGAAGAATAGATGCAATAAAAAATGAAAAAGGGGCTATCACCACCAATTCCACAGAAATACAAACTACTATCAGAGAATACTACAAACAGCTCTATGCACATAAACAAGTAAATCTAGAAGAAATGGATAAATTCCTGGACACTGACACCCTCCCAAGACTAAACCAGGAAGAAGTTGAATCCCTAAATAGACCAACAACAAGGTCTGAAGTAGAGGTAGCAATTAATAGCCTACCACACAAAAAAAGTCCTGGTCTAGACGGGTTCACAGCTGAATGCTACCAGACATACAAAGAGGAATTGGAACCATTCCTTCTGAAATTATTTCAAACAATACAAAAAGAGGGAATCCTCCCTAACTCATTTTATGAGACCAACATCATCCTGATACCAAAACCTGCAGAAATACAACTAAAAAAAAGAAAATTTCAGGCCAATATCCATCATGAACATTGATGCAAAAATCTTCAATAAAATACTGGCAAACCGAATGCAACAGCATATCAAAAAGCTTATCCATCACGATCAAGTAGGCTTCATCCCAGGGATACAAAGCTGGTTCAACATATGCAAATCTATAAACTTAATCCATCACATAAACAGAACCAAAGACGAAAATGAGATGACTAACTCACTAGATGCAGCGAAGGCCTTTGACAAATTCAACAGCCCTTTATGCTAAAAGCTTAATAAACTAGGCATCAATGGACTGTATCTAAAAATAATAAAAGCTATTTATGCCAAACTTACAGCCAATATCATACTCAATGGACAAAAACTGGAAGCATTCCATTTGAAAACTGGCACTAGACAAGGGTATCCTCTCACCACTCCTATTCAACATAGTATTGGAAGTTCTAGCCAGAGCAATCAGGCAAAAAAAAGAAATAAAGGGTATTCAATTAGGAGAAGAGGAAGTCAAATTGTTTCTATTTGCAGATGACATGATTGTATATTTAGAAGACCCCATCATCTCATCCCCAAATCTCCTTAAGATGATAAGCAACTTCAGCAAAGTCTCAGGATACAAAATCAATGTGCAAAAATCACAAGCATTCCTATACACCAATAACAGACAGACAGACAGCCAAATCATGAGCGAACTCTCATTCACAATGGCTATGAAGAGAATAAAATACCTAGAAATACAAAGGACGTGGAGAACCTCTTCAAGGAGATGTACAAACCACTGCTCAAGGAAATAAGAGAGGAACAGATGGAAAAACATTCCATGCTCATGGTTAGGAAGAAACAATATCATGAAAATGGCCATACTGCCCAAAGTAATTTACAGATTCAATGCTATCCCCATCAAACTACCATTGACCTTCTTCACAGAACTGGAAAAAACCACCTTAAACTTCATATGGAACCAAAAAAGAGCCCACATACACAAGACAATCCTAAGCAAAAAGAACAAGGCTGGAGACATCATGCTACCTAACTTCAAACTATACTACAAGGCTATAGTAATCAAAACAGGATGGTACTGGTACCAAACAGAGATATAGACCAATGCAACAGAACAGAGGCCTCAGAAGTAACGCCACACATCTACAACTATCTGATCTTTGACAAACCAGACAAAAATAAGCAAAGGGGGAAGGATTCCCTGTTTAATAAGTGGTGTTGGGATAACTGGCTAGCCATGTGCAGAAAGCTGAAAGTGGACCCATTCCTACACCTTACACAAAAATTAACTCAATATGGATTAAAGATTTAAACATAAGATCTAACACCATAAAAACCCTAGAAGATCCACTCAGGACACAGGCATAGGCAAGGACTTCATGACTAAAACACCAAAATAAATGACAACAAAAGCCAAAACAGACAAATGGGATCTAATTAAACTTAAGAGCGTCTGCACAGCAAAAGAAACAATTAGAGCAAACCAGCAACCAACAGAATGGGAAAACATTTTTGCAATCTACCCGTCTGACAAGGGCTAATATACAGAATCTATAAATAACTAAAACAAATTTACAAGAAAGAAACAAACACCACCATCAAAAAGTGGGCAAAATATATGAACAGACACTTTTCAAAGGAAGACATTTATGTGGCCAACAAACATATGAAAAAATGCTCATCATCGCTGGGCATTAGAGAAATGCAAATCAAAACCACACTGAGATACCATCTCACACCAGTTAGAATGGCAATCATTAAAAAATCTGGAGGCAACAGATGCTGGAGAGGATGTGGAGAAATAGAAACACTTTTCCACTGTTGGTGGGAATGTAAATTAGTTCAACCATTGTGGAAGACAGTGTGGTGATTCCTCAAGGACCTAGAAATAGAAATACCATTTGACTGAGCAATCCCATTACTGGGTATATATCCAAAGGATGATAAATCAATCTATTATAAAGACACATGCACATGTATGTTCATTGCAGCACTGTTTACAATAGCAAAGGCTTGGAACCAACCCAAATGCCCATCAAAGATAGACTGGATAAAGGAAATATGGCACATATACACCATGGAATACTATGCAGCCATAAAAAAGATGAGTTCATGTCCTTTGTAGGGACATGGATGAATCAGAAACCATCACTCTCAGCAAACTGACACAAGAACAGAAAACCAAACAACACTGCATGTTCTCACTCATAAGAGGGTGTTGAACAATGAGAACACATGACACAGGGAGGGGAACATCACACACTGGGGTCTGTCGGGGGATGAGGGGCTGAGGAGCAACAGCAGTGGGTCGGGTGGTTCAGGAGGGATAACATTAGGAGAAATACCTAATGTAGGTGACGGGGGGATGGAGGCAGCAAACCACCATGGCATGCATATACCTAGGTAACAATCCTGCAAGATCTGCACATGAACTCCAGAACTTAAAGTAAAATAAAAAAAGAAAGAAAGAAAATAGGTGAAATCTGACTGACGGGGAAACCAAACCAAAGCAAACAAAAATCCAGCTGAAGACACCGAAGGTAGGAGTGTTTCTCTCCAGGAAAGCCCTACAGAAGCTTAAATTAATCAATAAAGAGGTTGGGTGCTGGGTGCAGCCTGAATGCATGAGTAGATTATTAAGGGCTCTATGGTGAATAGCTGAGATCTCTGGTGCCTTGCCCCTTCTCCCCCGTGTAAGAAGGGCAGGAGGCTTATGCTCTTTGCCCTGATAACTATTTTGCAGAAAGTATATGATTTGCCCAACAAAGGCTTCTACTTGGCGTACTGGGGCCCAAAAAGGGAAAATTGCAGAGCCTAGACCTCCACAACAGACACAGGGGAGGGTGTAGAGAAAAAGGAAAAAAGCTTCACCCCAAGCTGAAACCCATGACAGCGCTTCACACCACCAACACCCTTACCACCAGAGGAAGACCTTTTCCACCAGCAACATAGGGGATCTGAAGGCTTTCTCCTGATCCCTGCCCACACCCCCTCCAGGGACATCTGTCCACAAGATGCCCATCCACTCGCAAAGGGACTTCAGGGGCCTTCCTCATGCTGGGCACCATGACGGCATCTGTGCTACCCAATCAGCCTTTATATGTCAAATGACCAGACAACCGAGGATCATCATATACTTGAGGTAAACCAAAACCAGGAAAGAGAAAGATGAGCAGACAGAACTGACCCCATATGAAACAGATGATTCAGGAAACTGACGGGAGCTTTGAAATAACTCTATTTCATAATCTTAAGATATTTTAAATGAGTCTACCTCTATAAAATAAAAAAGGAACAGAAAATGAGAAATTATTCTTCCGTTTTTAAAAAGTCAAAACAAATCCTGAAAATCACAGGCTGAAGACAACAGCAATGAGGACCAAAAAGGACACTTACTACAAGCTGCTCCTTCTTTTCTTGAAACGTTTTGGTCTTGAAATTCCTTATCCTTTTGACTTTTTCAATAGTATCTGAGGTGGTCTGGCTGTAGTCACTCACTGAAATGACAGAGTTGGGGAAAAAAATGATGCCCCTCCCCCAGTTCCCCACACAAAGAGCTATTTCTACTTCCGTGTCCCTCAAAAGTCAGAGGATAAAATGGCTTGCATAGAAATTTCTATTTGATTAAACCTGGCAGGAGAGACTCCTGGAGCTACTCCCCTGTCTAGGTACCAGAGGAAGGGTAGGAAGGAGGGGCAAAAAAGGGACTTCAGTTTTTAGGTTCAAAAGTGCACCCCACAAATGAATTTCCCCATGCCCTGTAAAGGACTTCAAAAGTCTCACTTCTGACTTCGAAGAAGCCAGAGGAATAAAATGACTGGAACATAATTGCAACATCTGTGACTGGACTGTCAAATTCTTAGCGATTCTCTGCTATCCCTGCCAAGACCGTGTGTTCCTGGTCAGTTGTTTTAAAATTGCCAGAAGGGAACAACTCACCCCAGCTGGACCTGCTGCCGCACAGCCCCCCATCACCCTCAGCAGCACTGTTCAGAAGGTGGTCGCTGAAATTCACCGCCTTGTTCAGGTAAAGGTTCTGGTCAATGAAAACATTCAAACACCATGAATGATGAGGCTGCTCTGTCCCACTAGAGAGAAGGATCTCCCTGCTAACTTGCTCCTCCTTATTAAGGACAGCTCCACCTACCCGGACAGTTGAGCCTGAGACCTGGAAGTCCTTCCTGACTACTCCTCACCTTCCCAAGATGCTTTGTCCATTCTGCTGCTTACCCAGTGGCTCAGTCTGGCCCCTCCTCCTCTCCCTCACCGCATCCCTGGCCCCTCATCTCACATTGGAACCATCACAATAGCCTCTCGACGGGGGTCTGCCAGTCTCCCTGCCACATGGCTGTCCCAGTTCACCTTTATACCCTTTATAAGTGACTGTATTATTTCTCTGCTTCAAGTCCTTCAATGTCTTGTAATTAGGGTCTCATGATGGGAAGGTCTCAGGCTGCCAAGTGTGAATCCTGGGCCTGCCACTTACTGACTTAGTACCCTTGGAAGAAGCAGGTTGCTTAACTTCTGTGAGCCTCAGTTTCCTCACCTGGAAAGTAGAAATATTATGACCTACCTCAATGGCATGTTGTGAACGCAAAATGCGGTAAAATGGGTGTCTATATAATGAGGTCAGACACAGAAGTCTGTGGCACCTGGACTGATCCCCCTGCACCCTCACGTGGCTGCCTGCTCCTGTCCCAAAGAACAGCCTGCTACTTCCTGAACACTAGAATATGCAGGCTAAGAAAAGATTTATTAAACCTAAGGGCCAGGTGTGGTGGCTCAAGCCTGTAATCCCAGCACTTTGGGAGGCTGAGACAGGTGGATCACTTGAGGCCAGGAGTTCGAGACCAGCTTGGCCAATATGGTGAAACCCCGTCTCTACTAAAAATACAAAACTTAGCTGGGTGTGGTGGTGTGAGCCTGTAATCCCAGCTACACAGACAGCTGAGGAATGAGAGGTGCTTGAACCTAGGAGGTGGAGGTTGCAGTGAGCCGAGATTGTGCCACTACACTCCAGTCTGGTTGACAGAGTAAGAATTTGTCTCAGAAAACAAAAAACAAAAAAAACACCACGACTGGGAACAGTTATTCCAATTCTACTTGACAGAGAGCACGTTGGAGGTGCTGCTGGCAGCCCACCCTGTTCCCACCAGCTGGCCAGGTTACTCACCCTAGCTGTTGTGCAGCTGCTAAGAGCTCACTGCTGGACCTCCTTCTCCAGCAAAGTGCCCTCAGTAGACGGATGCTGCCTTGCCCTAGAGGTTATCCTCCCTCCCCTCCCTACCTCAGTTGGGGACAACTTTGTGGTGTAATTCATCCTCCAGAGGTCCCCTTGGATCAGGCTAAAGCTCAACTTTGCTTTTGTCTACCTGCTCATTCGGCCCCTTCCCCTGCCTTCTCTCACTCCCCTCTCCCTGAAGTTCTTCTCTGACCCAAGCTCTGCTCTAGCCACACAATGAAAAATAGCAGTTAATGCTTTATTTGGTTTCAAAGCACATTCATGTGCATTAGCCCATTAGATACTCCCAGCATTCCCATAAGTTAGACAGGGCCCATGTTTCTATCCCAATTTCAACAACACCATTAGCACCTTGCCAGGGCCTAATAAATGTTAATTCCCCTCTTTTTTCTTGGCTTCTTAATTGATTGATCAATTATTCTGACTTCTTGTCCAATGAAACTGAAGCTGCTAATGTCAATCAATTAATGTTTGAAAAACACTTACAGGCTCTGGGCAACACCCTAGTCACCATATAAAAGGGAAGATCAAGAGCACATGGCCACAAAGTTCGGTTTGGTAGAAGAAAATATGTCAAAGGGCGTATCAGCAAATATTTTTGTCAGTCATTCCGCAAATCAATTGTATCACAGACATGCCGTCAGACTTCAGTAAACATAAATAAGCCTGAGAACTACAGAAAAACTCCTGTTCTCACTATGTCTTCCTGTGCCTGGGGTTTAACTTGTTTATCTAATTCTGTGAAATTCCTTGCCTCTAGTAGCATTTCATAATATTTGAAACATTTCCTTTCTATGGATTACACAGAAGCATTTCTATAAATTGTAAGTCCCAATTTACTAGATCAGTCAATTCGCGAATGAGTAACTTCTCGAGGCTTGCTCACCTTGTTTGAGACTTGAATATAATTCAGTCTGATGCTAACTTCACAACCATCTTCGTGGACAGTAGCAGAGACAAGCTTTTAAAAGAATTGTAGAGAGAATTTATAACTGTGGGTGTAGGACTCATTGCCTTAAGTAACAGTGTGGAAATAAATTTAACCAAATATTTAATTAACACAGAAGAAAGGAGGAAAAGAGAAACAGAGCAATGAAAACTAGATAAACAGAAAACAAAGAACAAAATGGCAGATCCAAATCCAACCATATCTGAATTCTACTAATTAAGAATTAACTGAATATTCTAAAGAGACTGAAAACTGAATAAAAAGGCAAGATCCAAATCTATACATTCTTCAAGAGACGCACTTTAATCAAACCACATGATCAGATGTCATCACCTTGGAAAAGGTATTCTGGTAGGGTGGGGACAGGGCTTGGCAATTAAGGGACAAGTGTCACAGTTGAGCAGCTTTCTCTGGAAGTAGCAATAGGAATTTAGATTCAGCCAAGGGGCAAGAAATGTTTTCAGGAACGCTCAGTTCGTAAATACTTTGGGTCTTGTTAACCATATGTTCTGTGCTGTGAATACTTTACTGTCATAGCACGAAGCAGCCACATATAACAAGTAACGGAATGGATGCATAAGATTTTATTTACAAAACTGGGCAGTGGGCCAGATTTGTCCCAGCTGTCATAATTTGCGAATCTTTGGATTAGGCTGAAGAATTCATAAACTACCAAAATAGATTATCAAAGGAAATTGGTCAATACTTGAAAATGAGATCATCTCGATGTTGGCCTATTTGGCAGCAGAGGAGTAGACAATCTTTTTCATAAAGTTCCTTCTAGTCTTGCAACAAACAGAGGAAGGGTCCTCTCACAGAGCTGTCTTTCGATAATGGCAATGTAGTATCAAAGAAAGGACATGGGGCTCTGACAGGGTCTAACAGGGTCTGACGGACCTGCTTCAAATCTTGAACCCCATGAGACCCAGCAGCGTAGTCTTGGGCAGGTCACCAAAACACTCTGAGCTTCAGTATTCCTGGGTATCAAATAAGGCTTCCGATTACCTAGTGTGGAGTGAAAAACCACCCCAAACTTAGTGGCATTAAACCACCACCACTTATGCTAAGGATTCAGAGAGGACATAGCAGAGATAGCTTGACTTTGTTCCACATGTCTGAGGCCTCAGCTGGAAGACTCAACTGGCTAGAGGTGGTTGGATGTTTGGGGGCTGGAATTATCTAGAGTCTGGTCACTCATGTGGCTCCGGCGCAGAGATGACTCAAGAACTGAGTTCAGCTGGTGCACCTACATGTGGCCACTCTATGTGGCTTGGGCTTCTCATAGCAGGGTGGCTGAGCTCTAAGAAGGGGTGTTAGAGGTGAGTGTGCCAAGCAAGAGAAAGCCACATGACCTTACGTGGCCAAGCCTTGGAAGTCTCATGGCATCACTTCCACCATAGTCTATTAGTCAAACAGTCACAGACCCACCTAGATTCAATCTGTATCTGAGAGGACACAGATTCTACCATTTGAAGGGAAGACAGTCAAGGAATTTGTGTTTTTTTTTTTTAAGTGATCACAAAGGTAATACTCCTCCCTTGCAGGTTTGCTGTGAAGACTAGAATGATGAATACAATGCTGATGCTGGGTCTACTGTAAAACGGCAGCTTTTATGTTACTATTGCTATATATTAACAGTATATGATTTAAGTCCACAATCTTGCTGGACTAAACTGTTCTGGGACTTTTCATTCTGACTATTAGAATTTCCAACGTAGCATCTGAGCATGAGATGTTCAGAATCGTATTGTGTTAGGTCAGGCGCCCCAGAGGCAGACTCTGAGACAATCTTCATGTGCAAGTGATTTATTAGAACAGAGCTCAAAAGGCAGAAGATAAGAAGCTATAGAAAGCAGAGCAGGAAAGAGAAAGTAACCAGGCAACATGCAGTTTCAGCAAAGTCCATGGAGGGTTCCATCAGCCTGATTCCATGGACACTTGTGGAGTGGAAATTTCATCTCACCCACCTTTCCCATCCTGGGTTCTGCAATCAAGGCCCGGAATTCAGGGTTGTTCTGAGCATAACACCTGAGGTGAGCAGAGATATGATCCAACTGTCTTCTCCAGTACCCTAAGAAGAGAAACCCAGCCATCTGGATGATTCTCCTGAGGCTAAGACAGAAAAATGCTAGCATGGAACATATGTTCTCAGTGCGGTTAATTTCCTTTGTCAAGCTTTGTGATGGACTTTCCTTACTGAACTTCAACTATGTCGTAGAACAAGTTCCATTTCCCCCCAGCTTCTTGTTACATGTGATTAATCATAGAATATCATAGAATCTCAAAAGGGGCTGGGCGCATTGGCTCGCACCTGTAATACTAACACTTTGGGAGGCCGAGGCAGTTGGATCACTTGAGGTCAAAAGTTCAAGACCAGTCTGGCCATCATGGTGAAACCCTGTCTCTGCTAATAATACAAAAATTAGCTGGGCATGGTGGCATGCACCTGTAGTCCCAGCTACTCAGGAGGCTGAGGAAGAAGAATCACTTGAACCCAGGAGGAGGAGGTTGCAATGAGCCAAGATTGTGCCACTGTACTCTAGCCTGGGTGACAGAACAACACATCTCAACAAAAAAAGAATTTCAAAAGAATATATTTTGATTGCCACACGTGCGGTCTTTTCTTTTTCTGTGATTTTATACCACCTATAATAACTTACCTAATGTTTTATTTTATTTTATTTATTTTGAGATGGGATCTCACTCTTGCCCAGGCCAGAGTGCACTGGTGTGATCATGGCTTACCATAACCTTGACCTCTCCGGGCTCAGATGATCCTTCTACCTTAGCCACCCAAGTAGCTGGAAATTCAAGCATGCACCATAATGCCTGGCTAGGGTTTATATTTTTTAGAGATGGAGTTTCACCATGTTGCCCAGGCTGGTCACAAACTCCTGAGCTCAAGTGATCTTCCTGCCTCGGCCTTCCAAAGTGCTAGGATTATAAGTGTGAGTCACCACACCCAGCCCTTATGCAATATTTTAAATGTACCGTTTGGGGCTTGCCAAATGTGTACATCCCAATCAATATATAAAACATTTCCATCACTCCAAAAAGTTCTCTTGGGCCCCTTTCCAGTCTGCATAGGGTTTAAGACACATTTGAATTAGGTGCTACCTTTTAAAACTTGTGAGATTTCACGTGAGTTTCATGCCTCATTTCTTATATGCAGGTGGAAAATGCAGGGGCACTGGGCTCACCTTCCCACACAGGCTGAACACCTGATGCCAAAGAGCAGCTGGCTGCTTTGGGCAGGGCACAGGCTCTCCAGCTGGCCACAGCCCCTGCTGTGCCATGTGGCCACTTGATTCTGTAAACCCACATCGGATCCCACCTACCAAATGAAGACACTAAGCTGAAAGCAATCAGAGAGTTTTTCCAAAGTCATGCAGCATGGTTCAGTGGAAGGAGCACATGATTTGCAGTTCAGACAAGCCAGCATTTAAATTCTAAATCTATCATTTATTAGCTTAGGGATGTTGAGCCAGACCCTTATATCTCCCTATGCCCTACTTTTCTTACCTAATAAAATGGAACTAATACCCCCTGCCTCATGTGTTATTGTGACATTAAACAAAAGAACCTAAGTGTTCTTAGTTGGGTTTCCCTGAAAGCAGAACTGAGATAAAGACTTAGGAAAGGTGGTTTCTTTGGAAGGTGACCATGGGACATGCAAGTGATGGAGTATAAAGAGCAGGACAGGGAAGGGAAGGAAGAAAGAATATGTTAAAAACTGGTTAATACTGTGGGCAACTGGGGCCTGATCTTGCTGGGGATCCGAGGGTCCATGGAGAACATGCCTCACAGTTTTCTGCTGAAGGACAGAGAAGCTATAGGGGGTCTGCTCCCCGGCTCCCTTGCCCATGTGTGAGAGTAGCCCAAGTAGTGTTAACTCCCAGTGCTTCTGAGCTGCACCTGTGCACGGACAGGCAGCCTTCTCCTGAAGTTGGAGGCAGCAAAATCAAGAGAGATAAAAGAATTTAAATAAAACAGATAAAACTATTTAAATAAAAAAGAGAGAATGGGGCACATTTGATGAGGCATACTGGCAATGATAGAGGTGGAACCATCGACCACAGCTGCAGGTTGAGATCTGGCTTGGGGCATCTGGAGAGTCTACTATGAGTAATCAAGATAACACTAGAGATCATACTGAGCCTAGTGCACTGTTTGACACAAAGTAGCCATTTATCCCACAAATATTTACTGGGCACCTACTATTTTTCATGTACTATTCTAGGTCTAGGATACACAGGAGTGAACAGAATTCTTACCCTCAAGGAGCTTACATTCTCAGTGAACACAGATAATATGAAAATAAATAAATATGTATGCAGGAGTATATTAAAAATGAGGTTCTGATGGAGAAGCTACAATACAATAGATGTATATTTCTAAAATCAAATCTCAACTTTCAAAAAAGCACTGAGAAAGAACCTTGTGAGGAAGTCCTTTGGCAAGGGTCTAAGACTATGAGTCCCCACGGAGAGGTGAGGTCTGTTCCCTTCCAGATCAGGCTGAATGAGGGGATTCCAAGGGATTGGCTTCTGCTACAGGAAACTGAAAACCTGTTTCTATTAATCATTGCTACCAAACAAAACAGCCCAGAACTTAGTGGTTTAACAAATCAACCACTTTACTGCTCATACTTCTGTGGGTCGAGAATATGGTCAGTGCTCTGCAGGGATGGTTCATCTCTGCTCCACATGGTGTCGGCTGAGCCATCTCAAATAGGGCTATGGGATCCAAGATTATCTCAGCCACAAGGCTGAGGCCTCAACAAAGATGGCACAAACTACTGAGAGCTGTCTGGGATGACTCAGCCTTTGTCTGCACACATTCAAATGCCTGGAGTCTTTGGGGTAGGCTGCTCGCTCAGGCGCTCTGTTCTCCTTCATGTGGCATCTCTTCTCACTCAGTAATCTCTACTGAACTTCTTTACACAGTGCTGGCTTCCTAGAAAGCAAGTGGAAGCTTTCAGCTCTTGTAAGGCCTAGGCCCAGAACTATCATGGTGTCTCTTCTACCGCTCTTTATTGGTAAAAGCAAGTCACAAGGTCAGTCCAGATTCCAAAGGAAGAGACACAGCCTCTTCCTCCTAAGGAGAAGAGAGATGTGGGGAGTGACTCTGGTCATCTCTGCAGATAATCTACCATAGGTCTCATACCACATTTATACCTGGAAGAGCTCAGTCAGACTGTGAGCTGGGTTTTGACTCCCACTAGGGACATCCAGAGGGCAAAGGAAGAGCTGAGAATGACCAACTTCTGGCATGGCAGCCTAGGGATTTGAGTGGACCTACTCCCCAACAAAACTGTTAAGGGTAGGTAGCTAGGGAGACATGAACAGGGCAGGAAAGGCTCCCCCTACCCCCAGAAATGTCAGTGACCATCAGGTGATGGTCAGACAGTTGTTAAACAGTTTCTCTAAAATAATAATTGGTTGTAGCTGGTGCCAGGGAACAGCAGTCCCCCAGTAGACAGAAAACACCGGAAGCTGGTCATCAGCAGCTTCCCGATGAGATCTCAGGAGTTGGACGAGTAGGCTTAGCCATGTGCACTAAGAAGCAAAATGGCAGAGTTTAACTGGTACATGACCTTTCTCTAGAACACTCAATGGGTAAGGGAATGCCTCAAGTGATCATGCACACTGTCAGGCCTCCAAGTCCAAGCCTGGTCATTACAGCCTTGGTGACCTGCACATGCACCTCCTGATGGTCTCCGGGAGCCAGAAAGTCTGAAGTCACCAGATGGCCACAAAGAGAAGTGAAACAACTGGCTCCTGCCTCAGCCAATAGCTCTCCTCCTGCAACGTTCCACCATTGTTCCTGCTCAGCCTTGCAAAGCTTCCCCACTAGATACTAGGTTTCTCAAGACCCCTATCCCTGTAACTATGTAATTTACCGCACCCTCCCCTCTGCTTGCAACTGATAACCCCCACCCTTATGACCATGCCTGTTTGTAATAGATGACCCGTACCCTTGTGACTATGCACCCTGTGATGCCCTTCCCCCTCCCTAAAATAGATTACAACCTTTAATTGACCACTTGCCTCAACCTATGTAACCAGTCCCCTTTCCTACTCCCCTTGCCTAACTCCTTTCTTGGACTTGGCCCGCAAAGTAAAATGGCCTCATTGCCCACACAAAGCATGCCTGGTGGTCTCTTTACGTGAGCAACGCGCCTAACACATACAACTTCAGTAAACATACAGTGCGTGTGGCCCCTCCCAAGTGCTGGCAAGCCACTGCGCATGGGGACAGCCCAGCAAGAAGGACTGGGGAGAAATAATACAAACCCTGGAACCATGCCAATGTATAAGCCCCACGTCAAGGGCTGAATGGTGCACTTGAATTTCTTAAGTCACCCACTTGGACTTCTTCAAAGTGTACTTTACTTCCTTTCACTCCTGCTCTAAAACTTTTCAATAAACTTTTACTCCTGCTCTGAAACTTGCCTTGGTCCCTCACTCTGCCTTATGACTCTCAGCCAAATTCTTTCCTCCTTGGAAGCAAGAAGTGAGGCTGCTGCAGACCCATACCCATATGAATTCGCCATTGCTAACAAAACTAATTTAGAGAAACAGCAAACCCCATCACAACTATTTTAAGTCTCTAGAAATGGTTCTAAAGCCATATAGAAAATAAACGTTTAATGAATGCATACCAAAACTCAGAATCATGAGAGTCTGTGGTGTCTGAACCATGGCCCACTCCTTTCCACTCCTTCTCAACTGAGCACGATGGAAACTCCGCTCCATATAGGTGTGGCCAAGAACACAGGGCTCCCTCTCCTCACATCTTCCGAGGAAGGTCAGGGACTTCAGTATTTCTCATCCTGTCCCAATTGCCCTTTGCACAGACTAAGTTCCAGACAAATGTGGTCAAGAGGCTGGGGCTCCCTTTCTCTGCCCAGATCTGGGACACTGGGAATGCTGGGGTCCAGACCACCTATTCCTGGCTCATTCGGCACAAGTCAAATGTTGAAAGATGCAAGTCATGAAGAACAAAGGCTACAGCTGCATCCTGCTCTGCTGGTTACCTAAAGCATTGCTCAGCCCCTAAAGCAATGGT